CCTCACCGAATCGTCACGGCCGTGTTTTTGAGAATCTTGATGTTGAGGACGAGGCTCTTGACGTCGGCGAATTGGTCGTCGAGGAGGTGCACGCGGCGGCCGCTGTCCTGCGCAACCACATATGCGCCATCGCCGCCGCCGTCCTCGCCGACACTGGCACACCCCGAGACGCTAACGATGTGGCTTTTGGTGTGCACCTGCTTCTTGTTGACGCGGAGCTCCTTCTCGGGCAGCCCAAACGTTGTCAAATGTGACATAAAGAACCACTGGAGCGTGCAGAGGCGGCGCACCTTGCACTCGATGCTCGACGCGTGCTGCTCCAGCATCTTCGGATCAATCTCGGTGATGTAGTCCATGAGGATCGACGACGAGTTGTACATGGCTTGGCGCGCGAGCGAGTTGGTTGCCAGTAGTTTCCAGAACGACCGGTTCACGAGCTGGTCGAGGCCAACGACAAGCAGCACGTTGAGGAGCAAGCCGCCGACAATCGCGCCGCTGCTGCGCACGTAAAAGCTCTCGTAATAGTTGACTGGGGTCCCATCCAGTTTTTCAATCGCGTTCTTGACGTCCTGCCGCACGCGGTTGTTGTACTCGATGAACGGCGGGATGTAAAAGAGCAAAATCGCGCTCAGATAGAGCGACGTGACGCTCGTCAAGTTGAGGTAGCCCATAAGCTTGCTATCGCCAGAGTACGTCGCTGTGCTCACGGCGCGCCACGCGTACTTGAGCAGCTTCAAACACGCGCAGTTGACCCAGAGAAGGCGCGTACTCAGCGCAAACAGCTGCAGCGACAAGGCGCCATTCGAACACACGGCCAAGTACACTTGCACTTCGCGCGAGTACATGACGGCCGCGCTAATGTCGAGGAGGACGCCGGCCGTAAAGAGCAGCACAAAGATATCCGAGTTGTAGCAAAACATATCAAAGCGGAGCGCGTGCGAGACGTGCGGGAAGCAGTCGGGCACAACGAGCTTGAGCACGTCATGCAGAAAGCTGTCGGTCTTTTCCGGTTGAACGTCCTGCCACTGGACGGTCCGCCGACTCGCGAGGAACCCGCCGAGCGCAAAGAGCACCGCAATGCACTTGAGGTAGTACGACGCGGCGCTAAA